TTTTAGCCGCTGCCGTCGGAAACCGACTTCTTTTAGCCGCTGCCGTCAGAAACCGACTTCTTTTAGCCGCTGCTGTCAGAAACCAACTTCTTTTAGCTGCTGAGTTCAGAAACCAACTTCTTTTAGCCGCTGATCTCTGGAGACGAGGCGCGACGGTTCTGAACTCAGATAAAGCGTCAATGGATCAAACCAGCAATGTAACGGTTTAAAATTATAATTTATTTAATTGTTTTATTAATAAATAATGTGACAGTAAATGAAAAGTTGAGATAAAATAATAAAATGTTTATTTTTCACAGGATCTAGAGTGTAAAGTGGAGAATAATAAAATAATATTCATGATTTTACATTTAAAATGATTTCCTGAAGTCAAAGTGACGTTTGATTTAATAAGTTTGTTATAATAAAATGTTGGATTGTATACCTGGATTATTGAGCATGGACTTTGTTGTTTGTTATAATAAGTTAATAAGTTTGAATCAGTTTGTGTTATCTGGAAGAGATATCAGTTCATTTCAGGTTTTTCCACTCTGGCCGTTCAGGTGATGTTTCCACGCTTCACGTACTTCCATGACAAAACTCTAAACCTGTCCAGACCGTGAGAAGAAACTGGTGCTGTCTTTAGCTGTTAATAGCTAAAGCTGGGCTTCACAGCCTTATCTGCAAACATTACATTTCAATAAAATAAATAAAACGCAAGACAAAATAATCCTTCAGACGAAGACTAAAGACACTTCCAGTTTTCCTTCATTGACAAGTTGAAGCCTGTTCGGTAATAAAACGGTTATCGTTTAAACGTTTGACAAACTTCCCATACGCTGCCTCGCGTCGTGAAATGTTTTATTTTTTAAGCATTTAAACTATCTGGTTCTGGAAACACAAACAAGAATATTTCAGGCAAAAACTTTAAAAAATGATCAAAAAGTGCATCCAAGAAGTTTCATTCAGAATTAGGGAAAAGGTTATTTCTTGCCCACGGGCCGTATGTTGTCCACATTTATTCTAACGGCTCTTAAATAAACCCTTAAAGTCAAAGAATTAAAATCATGATTCTGTCCATGTTTATATAAAGAAATCAGCGAAATGCTCAGGTTGTTTAAAAAAAACTTGGAAATCCTTCTTTTATACGCGGCTTTGAAAGACAAAATAAAATAAAAAATCTTTAAATGTCTGTCTTTGTGTTTCTGGGGCTGTCATCTACTGCAACAATAAAACATTTTTTCTATCAAAGATGGATTGTTTTTGTATTTTCTTTACTCTAATTTTCATTTTGCTTTCTCTAAAACCATGGTTCCCAACTGTGGTCCCTGAGGAACACCATACTGCATGTTTCCGTTGTTTCCTGCTCCAACGCGCCTGATTCAACGATTTAATGACTTAAAGTTCTGCAGAAGTCCGTTAATCACCATTGGTTCAAATCAGGTGTGTCAAAGCAGAGAAACGAGTAAAACATGCAGGATGGTGTTCCTCAGGGACCACGGTTGGGAACCTCTGCTTTGAAGAAGGGGTGAGCAACATTTTATTCCCAGAAGTCCAAATCAAGATACTTAAAACAATCAAATAATTTTAAATTGTATTTTCTTTAAGACAGATCATCTGAAGACTCTTGTAACGTATATTTTCTTTAAAATACGACTCTTCAGGAATTTAAGGTGTACTTTCAGTAAACTCGCTCTTATGACTAAAAATTTTCGCCTAAACGTACAAAATTTAAAAAATGTGTTTGTTGGAGTCTTTGAGGTTCTGGAAACATGAAGACTTTAAAAAGTTTGAGCCGATCTTAATCTAAAGGTTTTTTGATGTATTTGTTGAATGTATTGATAAATGTCGGCTCTCCTAATTTTAAAGTTGTTTTGTTTCAGGTAGGACAGTGGAGGCCGGACGGGGCTTGTCCAAGGTCCACTTTTGGCCCTCAGGCCATGCATTGTCCACATCTGCAACATTTATAGCCTTCAGCAGGAGTTTCATCCTGAAAAGCAGATCCAAGCTGAAGTTCGGTCTTTTCAGCCGTCGACCTTCAGCCCGTCTCTCACCTTGAAGCAAACTGCTACAGCCGGAGTGCGAGTGTCCGATTCCCGTGGAGCGCTTTACATGTGCTGCAGGGCCTCCTGGGCTTGCTCCGTGTACGTCTCGTCTTTCCGTGTCCCGGGGTTGAAGCCGGCGTCAAACTGCACGCCGCGCTGCTTGTCACGAGAGAAGAAGCTAAACCTGGAGACAAAAGACGGGACAGGAGAGACGTTTGGACGGACCAGCACGTCCCAGCAGGGCTGTCACCCAGGACAAGTTACTGGGAATTATGGGAAATAATTTATTCTAACAAACACAAACATCAGCCTGATGTGGTCGTTAGTCGTGTTGGAACAGTGAAAGTAAAACAAGCAGAACGCTGAGGGACTTGAAGAGTGAGTGTTTGTAGTTTGGAGGTGAGTGTTTGTAGTTTGGAGGCGAGTGTTTGTAGTTTGGAGGCGAGTGTTTGTAGTTTGAAGGTGAGTGTTTGTAGTTTGGAGGCGAGTGTTTGTAGTTTGGAGGTGAGTGTTTGTAGTTTGGAGGTGAGTGTTTTTCCAGACTGGAACAGCACAGTGGATGCAGGTAAACCTAAATGTTTTTGGTGTGTAGGAGCTACACTGTGGAGAAGAGCGGAGGTTTCTTTTGTGCTCGTTGGAAGCGGCGTGTGGACGCTGCCACAACCAGAGACAAAGGTGGAGCTAGAGGGGGGCCAATGGTGGCCGTGAGTACCATAAATGGTGGTGACCCTTCTTAGATGTAGCCACACACGTCCATGGAAGTCGGTACCTCACTTATTTTTCAAGTTATCGTGCTCAAAACACGGACGGACGGAGGTTACTCCTCTTTGCTCTGCGACGGGACAAAAACCCTAAAAACTAAAACTAAATGATTTATTGTGACTAAAAATAAAAGAAAGGCAAAATATGAAACGTTATAATTGGAGATAGTTGCCTTGGCCCCCATAGATTAATCTTCAGCCCCCACAACCATTTAAGCAACATAAAAACCAGAAAGCACAGCTTCCTGGAATAACCAGTGTGGCCAGTTCACTTAAATAAATGGTGGCAGCCATGTCGGATTTAGTTTGTGTTTTTCCCTCGTCCAGATCAGTAAACCATGAAGTTAAGAACCATCAACAGAAAGGCTTCACGTGTTCAACACAATGATTTAGTGAGTTGTTAGAAGTTTTTCAGAAAACACAAAACAACCAGACTACATGTCCATTCTGATGGCTGATCCTGGATCGGATCTGGTTGTTGACTTTAGGCCGATCAGCCAATCAGAACACTACGAGGTGCACATGCAGCAGCGAGGCGGTGACAGACTGAACCAACAGGAGGAGGAAATCATACTAGACACACGAGACGTCTGATTGGCTGTAAAGTGGGATCATCTGGGATCAAACCAGCTGCCACCATTGGCATTATAGCTGTGAAGATCCTGGGGGGGACAGGGACCACTTCAGTCAACTGACCCAAAACTCAGAGTCAAACAGAAGAACAGTCTGTGAGTGAATGATACGTGCAATTCTTGGAGAAACATTTTTAGAGGACCATTTCTGTTTCCGTGCACATTGCTCGTGCTTTTATCGACTTCTGTTCATTTAATGGAAGAATTCAAGCAAACTTCAACCTCCAGACTTGAAACAAGAAGCAGCTGCTTCTTTAAGAAGCCACAAGTCGACTCGTCTACCGGGGCTGGCCCGCGTCATATCGTTCACGATAACACCGGTAAAAAAAGCTTGACATCATGATATGCTATGGAGTGGTGGCGCAGAGGTTAGAGAAGGTGGGCCTGTGATCGGAAGATCGCCGGTTCAAGCCCCGGTACCGACAACATCAAAAATGTGGGTGGGGTATGTGAAGCACCCACACCTGCCCCCACCCACATTCGCTCCACTCTGGGCCCCTGAGCAAGGCCCTTAACCCCCACCATGTGCTCCTAAACAGGTCTCTCTTGAAAATGAGTTCTCGTGGCTCAGTGAGACTACCTGGATCAATAAAGGTAAATGAAAAAAAGAAATCGTCAGAATGCTCCGAAATATCACGATATAATATCTGAACCATATCGTCACCACGATCGTCTACAGCAGCACAAGAGGTCAAAGGCTCCAAGTGCTGGGTTGGATCCTCAACTCAGTTAATAAACCCTCTGATAAACTCAAACCTGCTACATCAACTGTGGCTTGAAAGTAAAGAATTTACTGCCATGGGCTGAAGACTTCATCCATCCATCCATCTACCATCCATCCATTATCCATCCACTCACCCATCCATCATCTTCCTCCTGTTCTGGACTCAGGTCTGGGGGCAGCATCTTGAGCAGGGAGGTCCAGACATCATCTCTCTCCACAGCCTCTTCCAGCTCTTCTGGGAGGACTCCAAGGAGTTCCCAGACCAACACAGGGACATAGTCTCTCTCCAGTGTGTCCTGGGTCTTCCTTGGGGTCTCCTCCCAGTCGGACATGCCTGAAGCACCTCCCTAGGAAGGCGCCATGGGAGCATCCTTACCAGATGCTGAACCTCCTCAACTGGCTCCTCTGGATGTGGAGGAGCAGTGGTTCTACTCTGAGTCTTTCCTGATAACTGAACTTCTCCCCCTGTCTCTGAGGGAGAGTCCAGCTACCCTGCAGAGGAAACTCATTTCAACCTCCTGGATCCACGATCTCATTCTTTCAGTCTCTACCAGAGTTCATGACCAGAGGTGAGGGGAGGAACGTAGACCGACCAGTAAACAGAGAGCTTTGTCTTATAGCTCAGCTCCCTCTTCACCACAATGGACCGGCACAAAGTCCACAATACTACAGATGCTGCACCAATTGGTCTGTCAGTCTCATGCTCCATTCTTCCTTCACTCGTGAACAAAACCCAGAGATACTTGAACTCCTCTACATGAGGCAGAACCTCACCCTCGATCTGAAGAGAACAATCCACCCTTTTCTGACTGAGGACCATGGCCACAGATTTGGAGGTGCTGGTTCTCATCCCAGCTGCTTCACACTCGGCTGTGAACCGCTCCAGTGAGACCTGAAGATCACGACATGATGACCGCAAAAGGACCACACCATCTGCAAAGAGCAGAGGTGAATCCTGAGGCCACTGAAGCGGACTCCCTCCACCCCCGAGAAGTTCTGTCCATAAAATTATTAAAACTGCCTAAAAACATCATCCGTTACCCTCTTGGCTCACTCGCTACGCCAGAGTCCCCCAGCGCTGAGGGACTTGAATAGTGAATGTTTGTAGTGTCCGAGCTGAGCGTTTTTCTGGACAGGAATTAAACAAGTAAACCTAAACCTTTCCAGTTTTATCCACCACCTGGAGCAACGGTGGAGCCGGGGGGTAATGGTGGCCCTGGCCACCACAGATTAATCTTTGGCCACCCCAATCATTTGAGCAAACTATACTTTAAGCAATATAAAAACTAGAAAGCATAGTTTCCTCAAATAATCCCGTTTGACAGTTTGCATATATATTTGGTGGTGGCCATCTTGGATTGTGACGTGGTAACCCAGTTAATCCTCAAAGTTCTGGCTACAAGACAACAGCTCGCATCTCTAGAAGGTTTCAGACCGAACGGCGTCTTTCCAAAACACAGCCAGCCTTCAAATAATCTTTCACGACTGTAATTATGAATATCCATATTTATACAGTATCATCGTACTGGGACTTTAAAACTGTGGCTGCTGCAGAACGTTACCGTCTCTCTCCTCCGTGTAGTTAAATCAGTGTGACCTGGCTGTAACGCTTCTACCTGTGCATCAGCGTTTCTTACCTTCCACCTGCTTCCACAGCTCTTGTGAATGTTCATTCTGGTACCAGTTTGAACAGTGTCAGGTGAATGTGTGGTGCTATTAGAAGGAGTACGGTGGAAAACGTACAGGCGTTTGATTCCTGACTCTGGATGAGCAGAAGATCTGGAGTGAGTCTTCAGTTCAGGGGAGGGAGACGGAGACAGAGCTTCATCCTCGGCTTCATCACTGCAACGACAGAGATCATCAGCAACGTGTCTGTAACACACAAACATCTAGAAACAACTCGAACTGTCACGGCCACACAACATGAACCCTCAAACACTTTCACTTTTTCACAGTTTATTTATTTGAACCGTCTTCAAGTTATCGCAGCGTCAGCTTGTAAAAACCGTGACGTCACGTCACTCAGAGGGATTAACACTTCTGTTGTTGAACTGCAGGTGTTCATTGATTCACCATCAACTACAGTTCATTAAAATAAAAATCTATGCTTCTTATATTGAATATTGTTTGGGGGCTAGCTTGATTGTGTGTAGTAGAGGTAATTTAAATGTCTTGAGGTTTCAGGAAAAGTGAGTAAATGGTAAAGAGACTGTACTTATACAGCTCCTTTCTGCTCTTTACAACACAACCTGTGCCCTATGAGGGGTTCAGTGTCTTGCCCAGGGACACTTCAACATGTAACTGATGGTGGAATCAAACCCCCAACTCTTCCATTGGAGGACAACTGCTCTAACCACTCAGCCACAGCCGCCTCATTCTTCGACTAACAATAACTAGGAGCAATCTAAGTTGCTGTGGCCATCATTACTGGACATATGAAGTCAAGACTTGAAGACAGAGTTGTGGTGTTTGTAGGCAACGTGTATTTTACATTTGTACTTGTACTTGTTCTGTGTTATGTGTCCGGTAGGTTTCTAAGAGAAGCCTGCTTTGCTACTACATAAGGGTAAATATGTAGTAAATATAAATATAAATATGTAGTGCAAAGAAGATATGTTGTGATAAAAGTACAGTATGATGCAGTTCAGACATGCTATGATGCTCATTATCCTGATGCATGCTCAATATATTGCCTTATATGATGCTCATTGTGATAATTTAAAAAATGAACATCAAAAGGCTGGAAAATGCATAATTTTGATTACTGGTAGATTTGACACCACTGGCACTAACCAGTACGTACATGTACGTCATCACTGTGTTCAGATTATACTAACTACGCCGGTTGTGTTTCTTTCTGAGTAACCGTCGTGTAGTTGATCATTTTCAGGATGTTAGTAAGAGGTTGTTAAGGAACTGTATCAAACGGTGCAGTTTGTAAGAGTTTCCACAAATATTAACTTAAAAAATGTTGGTGACTCTATGGAGGCTTGAATCACGTGACTGACCTACATTAGGTCGGCTGTTAGTCGTGTGCAATACTGCAAAACTTAAGTTAACACAACATCACCGACACTGATCTGATCAAATAGTTTGACCTTATATTTCATGTAGATAGAGCAGTCCTCTGTGTAGATAGAGCAGTATGTCATGTAGATAGAGCAGTCCTCTGTGTAGATAGAGCAGTCTGTTGTGTAGATAGAGCACTCTACCATGTAGATAGAACAGTATGTTGTGTAGATAGAGCAGTCAGTCACATAGATAGAGTAGCCTGTTGTGTAGATAGAGCACTCTACCATGTAGATAGAGCAGTATGTCATGTAGATAAGAGCAGTCTGCCGTGTAGATAGAGCAGTCTGTCGTGTAGATAGAGCAGTCTGTCGTGTAGATAGAGCAGCCTGTTGTGTAGATAGAGCACTCTACCATGTAGTTAGAGCAATTTGTCCTGTAACTAGAGCAGTCGGTCACGTACATAGAGCAACCTGTCGTGTAGATAGAGCAGTTTGTCGTCAGTAAATGTTTAGAGTGAAGTCTGCTTCCATCAAAAATGGCCAAACCATTACACTGATGGAGCCACATATTGAATAGGAGTCTCTATGGGTAAACAGTTTGAAAACCAGCTGATAATATTTGGAACAGGGTAAAACAGATGTTAGCTTTATTTATTTATTTTCAAAATGGCCACCACATTATCCACTGGGTGTAATAATCTCTGTTCTTAGCTACCTATTGTAATAATATTGGTCTCTAGTGTAAGTTTTCAGATATGGGAATTCCACTGAACTTAAGAGAAATCCATATTGGGTGGCGGCCATCTTGGATTTGAAATGGTTGACTGTATTATTATTGTGGTTGTCCTCAGGCTGTTTCTGTGAGTAGCAAGTTGTCCATCTGGCCTAAAATATTTGAATGTTGTACATGATGATTGATTGTTTTGCACGTGTTAAAAGCTTCTGAGATTCCAACAGGAGGGTGCCTTGAAACACAGCAGTGAAGGCTACTTATGAGACAGAGCTGGTTGGCAGGCTGTGGGCTGAGGAAGTCCTCTGGATGAGGGACAAAGCATTTCTCACTTAAAGAAACTGGTCCAGGTGACACGATTGAACCGTTTTTGTCGTCTACTTTACAAGGTCAAATTGCTTCAACTCATCTTATTTTTCAAACTGCTTACTGTAAAGACCGTATTATAACAAGCTGTTAATTGAAGAACACATTAGTTGGTTTGAGAACAAACGGGGTTTTGTTTCTTACTTTAGGAATTATTTTTTTGACTGGTCTTTGTGACGTTCCAGTCAGTGAAATCTAACATTCGTTGTGTAACGTCAGCTTTGCTTGGAACCTTCTTGTACCTCTTGTAGTAAGCCAGCTCCTCCTGAAGTAAAAAAACTTTGGCCTTCAGCTCATTCCTCTCGTGGAGGACATCCCTCAGCTCCTGCAGGGTGAATCGGGGCCTGTTAGGGTCTTTGGGGTCCAACGTGCCCGACTCCTCCTCACAAAACGCTTCCTGCAGAGGGAAAAATGCATCACACAGTAAAATACACAAGAAACAGGAAAAAAGGACGTTGGATGGAAGTGAGGACACTTTGGTGACATATTGAAACACATTAGCAGGTCCTCATCGCACATCGCCTCCTGGTGGCAAATGTTACCATAGCATTTTATTTATAGAGCACTTAAAACAGGGACAAGGCCAACCAAAGTGCTGTACAGACAGAACAACAGGTAACACACGAAGCAAAACACAAAATGAGGTAAATCAGAATATAAGATGGCGTGATCCTCCAGGAAGCACTTCAACTGGGACTCGACTATTTTCTCCAGTACTTTAGAAACAAATGGGAGTTTGGAGACAGGCCGGAAGTTGGACACGAGTGAGGGGTCAAGGTTTGGTTTTTTCAGGAGAGGCTGGACGACAGCATGTTTAAAGGATTTTGGCACCACGCCAGTGGATAAACTACTGTTTAC